TTTAACTACCCATTTGACCATTCTCTTTGTAGTATTCTCTACAAAACACTAGCAATTTACATTTAATGACTAAATCATAATAATACAATTTTAACGCTTATTTCTCTAGTGAACTTTTTAATGGCCAGTAAATGGGGTAAAAAATAAACATTTTATTTTTCTTTAACTTGTAACCACTACCTTAAAGTCCCCAAACACTCTAGTCCACATTTACCTCTTCATTCTCTAAACTCCTATTTATAATTACATTTAATATGTCTTTACTTCTTTTGTATATCCCAAAGATCCTAGCAGAATGTTGAACACATGGTAGTCACTCAAATCCTTGATAAAGGATTTGGCCAAGGCACTACAGTTCTTGAAAATAACACCTTGTGGTTGGCATTAATTCTACCACACATAAAATCCCATGAATAAATTCTGTGTCCAAATGTTGTTAGTCATTTGTAGCAATAATAATTATACTGATAGATGTGATACTGAGTTCCCAGTTCCAGAACCTCTCCAGTGAATTAGTAAAAGAAAGAATGGTACAGACTCTATTTAGAGAAAAAGGAAATTTTCATTTACTTGCTATTTATCTTTTATATTTATCATTTATCCATTCATTCACTCAACATGAATAATATTTATAATATTTATGAACATAAATATTCAAAGTGCTTATTATATTCCAGGTCCTGCTTCAGGTACTAGAGATACATCAGTGAACAAAAAGAGAAACACTGTTTTGTTTTGTTTTTTTCTTTTTGGCAAGAGAAAATGGAAAAAAAATAAGTAAAATATTTAGTATGCTAGCTGATGGTATGTGCTACGGTGAAACAACTAAGGAAAGGCGATAGATAAGGGAGAGTTGAGGGGTACAATTTTAAGTAGAGGTTGGTAAGGGCAAGTCTTATAACTGAGTAAAAGTCTTATAACTGAAGCTCATAACTGAGTAAAAACACAAAAATGAGGAAGTGAGCAAGCTTTTAACTGAAGAACATACTGGTTCAAGAGGAGAACTAGAACGAAGGCCCTTAAGCCAGGAGAACGCTGATGTGTTTGGAAAATAACAAGCAGCACAGTGGTGATGACCAGTGAGCAAGGCAAGAATAGAAGTAGATAAAGTCATGGAATAATGAAGGGGGCTAGATGGAGTTTTAAAGGGCAGCAGTGGTAATGCTGGTAAACTTCCATGCAGAGAGATGTCAAAATGTTTGAAGGGGTATACTCCTAAAGAACTAGGAGTGCAGGCTGGGGACTGTGGGTGTAGCATAAAGAGCTTAGACCATGATTTTGCTCTCTTTACAGTTTCAAGGCTAAAAGAAAACATGTTTCACAGGACTTTCACAGGACAATTCATTCTAGAGAGTTCAGCACCCAAATGGTTCCAAATTTACGACATTTTGAATCACAACTTCTTTAAGGTCAGTTTGGAAAATGCACATACCGTTTCCTATAGAAACAAAGAACAGTCCCCCCAAAGCATTCTAACACAATGGTCCTCAAAGACAAACAAGAGAAGCCGCAGCAGTATCACCTGGGAATATGTTAGAAATGCATTCAGAACTAAATCAGAAATTCTAGGGGTAGGGCCCAGTAATCTGTGTTTTAGTAAGCCTCCAGAAGATTCTGATGCATACTCAAATTTGAGAATTACTGTTATAATAGATCTGAAATATAACACTTTTGCAAGTGTATCTACTACAATTTATGACATTGTTACTTTGGCAAACTGCATCACAAGTTTCAATGAAAGGAACTATATGGGTGGATACTGTACCCATAAATTTTTAGAACAAGCAACTTATTAGCTTTCCAGACCCCTATATTCTCACTTTAAAAAAAAAAAAAAGAATTTTAATCACTCTGTAAGATTTTGAACAAGAGTAGGACTCTGAACTCCTCCCCCCAATAATCATTCGAGTAATATGAGTTATTCTTATATAAACCATAAATAAAGACTGTAAGTCAATAAAACACCT